GCTCAACAACACATTACAGCACAGACTTTAAGTGCTTTTCGACTACAGGCCCATTGATCTTTCACTAGAATCACAGATCAGACTCTTGCTCACTAAACAGAGGAGTTTAATGGTACTCAATCATGTCTGATAGTTCATTGTATTGGATGACTGATCATAAACAGGACAGGTAGAGCATATGGTCAGGGAATGAACTGCATTTCTCTTCATGTGGCAAGTGTGTGTGTGTGGGTGTATAACTGTATGTATGTACACACTAACCTGGTTGACCGGCTCGTCAAGAAAGAGAGAAATACAAAGTGTGAGAGACAGAAAGGAGGTTGTCAATACTGAATCTAGTGTCCCTGAATCACAGAGGAAAACAGTGACACTAAAAAGTATTTGGTCACTCTGGCCACTTTTAAAAATGTATGAATGTCATTGCATTAGGTAAAAAAAAAAAATCAATACAAGTGACATTTATTTTTAATAAAGATAGCCCAAGCACACTTTTCAAGCAAAATGTTTCACAAAAAAAAAAAAAGTGTCAAACAGATATCCTGCTCAATCACACTACTGAGATTTTTTTTATCAAAGATGCATTAAATTGACAGCAAAGGCATTTATAATTTTACTAAATAATTCAATTTCAAATAAATTCTACAAAAATATTAAGCAGCACAACAATGTTTTCAACACTGATAATAACAACATTTAAAAAAAAAAAAATGTTTTAAATTAAATTTTAAAATAAAACATTTCAAAATTGAAAACAGTTCTTTTAAATTGTAATAATAATTCACATTAAGGTTTACTGTATTTTTGGTTTAAAAAATCTAGCCTTTGAGAGCATAATAGATTTCTTTAAATGTTCTTTAAATTAAAAAAATAAAACCTAACAGACCTCAAGCTTTTGAATAGAAGTATTAAAAAAAACCTTCTATTTCCAAATTTTTTTTCCATGTAAAATTCTGTACAGCGACAATGGCATTAAAACATTAATACAGATTGTTCTAAGCTAGCTGAGAGAAAAATCACACCCTTTTAACCTAGTACACCATTGAGCACTTTTGTTCAGCAGAGCCAAAATCTCCAGCGAGTCACTGACTAACCAGAATTTGAGAATTTCTGTGAATAACAGCAGGGCAACAGCCTCAAATTAATTAGACGTTCACTGGAGGCCACAGGTGACAGAAGCACTAAAGTAAGAGTCTCTCTAAATCGGCTGGTCTGTCACCTCTGAGGGCTGGAGGACAAAACCACAGAACAACCAGACTAAGAGAGACTAAGGTTTTTTAAGAGCTGCAGTTAGCTACGCTCGACCCTTGATACCGGGACTGTCCTCCTATCTGATACAATATTATATATCGTAATTCCATTTCTCTCAATACTGCATCAACACTTCAGGTCCTCGTATTGATGTTTTTTATGTGCTCATGCATATAATTTCCAACAATTAAATTAATGGAGCTAATGGCATGAGAGACAGAAACCAATATCTCACATGTTTCAGTTGTGATTTAATTATGATTGTGATGCATCAATCGTTATGTATTTGTGTATAATACACATAAAAAGATTACTGTATAGTGATGTGTGAGATAGTTGGCAATACAGAGCTCTATTTCATACGTAACACATTAATACCATACAAATGTAACTTTGTATACGAGTAAGCATTATTTTTGAAGAACCAGAACATGCATAACATTTGACCTGACAGAAACACTGAAAAAGATGTCCTAAGAAACAACACTTTCTACATCACATTGCCTGAGGCTCTGTTAACACTAAAAAAAGAAACCACACACTGCCCACAGATGTTAGCCAGTCATAAAACTTGAATTCAGTCCTCTGACAACAGATAAGTTATGAGATTGTTCAGAGTTTGGAATGTTTGAGAAACTTTTTTGGAAATTCATTGTTTTTGCAATTCCATCTGGTGCTGTGAGTGAAACAAAAATGCTTTTAACATCTTTAAATACTTTGTAATTTAGAGGATTTCTCGAAAATGAATATCTGTTTTTAGTTTCATATTTAACAATGAAATGCCAGCTTGAATAAATGTCAATTCAAATTTATGAAACAATTAGAGGTTTGAATAAAGCAAACAACAGTGGTAGAAATTATAAATCCCACTGCATTTATGCAGTGTTTTGCATTTACAATTAGAATACAAAGACAAAATGCTGTTCAGCTAAATAAATATGACTATTATGAAGGATTAGTCACTTCTGGGTGTTCAAATAGAAAACAAAAAGCATATCAAATGAAACATTTTGAATGGAACCTAGATTTTTTTAATCACCGCAGTTCCAATTGACACTAATTTAGTTACATCAATAATGCAGAAATCACTGTAACAAAAAAACAACAAAAAAAACTCAATGTAATTTTACATTAGACCGTGATTTTCTTAATGGGCTGTTATTAGTTGTTAGACTGAGATTTTTTTGGTCTGCTTTGACATAAATGTGATAATGGTTCTATGTGGGCGATGAAGACATTTCTGAAACGAACATCATGTTCATCTCTCAGTTAAAGAAACAACCTTGATAGAAAGTCTAGAAATGGCGATGAAAATCAGATGTACTTACGGGTGCAACTCTTCTCCAATAGCAATCGATGCCATTCTTGAAATAAAGACCAAAGAAAAAGAGCGAGAAATGAACCTATAGGCCTAAACCCAAAAACAATCAAAGTTTGGGGTGAAGTGAAAAGTTGAATTGTCACACTTGTCATATGGATTGCAACAAGTTTGGGGTTGGTAATATCTAAAAAAAAAACTAAAAAAAAACAGCATTATTGTGAAATATTTTTACATTTTAAAATAACTGTTTTATATTTTAATATACTTTAAAATGGAATTTATTCCCGTGATGGCAATTTTTAGCAGCCATTACTCTAGTCTTCAGCGTCACATAACCCTTCAGAAATCATTCTAATATGCTAATTTGGTGCTCAAGAAATATTTATCATCAACGCTGAAAATAGTTGTGCTGCTTAATATTTTTGTGGAAATAAAGAATTTTTTCACAATTCTTTGTTGAATAGAAAGTTGAACAAACAGCATTTATTTAAAATAGAAACATTTTGCAACAAAATAAATGTATTTACTGTCACCTTTGATTAACTTAAAGGGGTCATATGATGCTATTTTAAAGATCATTATTTTGTGTATTTGGTGTAACAGAATATGTTGACATGCTTTAATGTTAAAAAAACACATTATTTTTCAAATACTG